TTTGTTATTATTTTAAACGAGTGACCCCTGGTGGCCAAAAATCGCATACTGTACGTTTAAGGGATTTTATGAGAGCCTATTATTTCAAGATTTTAAAATCAAAGAGGAACATTAAATATTTGTGTCCATATAGATCTGTTTAGTTGTTGTGCTTAATGCAGTGTTTTGTGCAATATTTCATCAGTCTGTCTGGATGTGGATGCAAATTCTGCTGAGTAATCATGTCTGATCAATACAGAAATCAAGCAGAACTGACACACACGTATGCACACACACACATATGCACACACACTCTTGATTCTGAAATCAAATTCACACACAACAATATCCCCATTAAAATACCTTATTGTCATGGTTTGAGTTCATCTTTGGTCTGTTTTTTGTTCTGTTCATGTATGTTTTGAGGTCAGCTTTCTATTTTGTTAATTAGTTGTGTCTTCGTATGTTCCCTGCCTGTTCTTCTCCATGGTTTCTGATTGATTTGAGTATTCTGTTCAGGTTTGTCTTGTTTATTTTCTCATTAACTCATTTGTTTGCCCTTGTATTTAAGCCCTCAGTTTCTTCCTTTCTCTGGTCCTGCATTGCTTAAGTTGTGTTATTTCACTGTGTTATTTGGTTGTATTATAGTTGCCTAGATTTTCTCCTGTTTGGTGTAATATCATATTCAAATTATTTTTGAGTTTCACCTTTATTGTGTGCTTTATTACAGCCACCTAACCATGACACTCATGCTATACCAATTTTAGATTTGTTCCATGACAAAGAAGGGAAGACTACTACATTTTTATGTAAAAAATGTGAATGGTTTGCCACAATTTTAGGGTGTTGTTGGTAGTTGCAGACTGCACGATTTTGGCTCGCCGACAGGTTCTGAGAAATCGCTGACAAATGCCCGAAATCATAGGCAAATTGGTGCTCTTTTACGCGAGTGACAATCACACAGTGTGAATGAGCAAAGACGCGATCTGAGAGAATCGCCAAAGAGTCGCCGACACCCGTGGGATATTTGGCATGCTAAATATGTGGACCTGTCTGCGATTCAAAATCCTGCTGTGTGAAAATTGAAAACTACATCGGCGATTACCGACAGCCAACAAGAGAGAGAGCAAGATACAGAGCAGCGGGGAGTTTGGGGAGGAGTTATAGATCACATATGGCATTGTTTCAGAAAAAGGCTTCTTCTATTTGGACCCATGAAATTAACAGGATTTGACGTTTCATCTGCACCACAACTGTGTCGAAAAAGAAAAAGTTTCACGTGAGAACTCGCATTGTTTCCTTGTCACATCTCGCGTGTGTTTATTGTGAAATGTTCGTAGTTTGCGCGCAGCGTGCTAGACAGAGTTGTCGCGACTCTTCCTATTGTAACGTCATGCAGTGTGAAACCTTCTGTCGCCAATCAATCGTCCAGTATGAACACAGCAGCGACTGAATGCTGGCCAAGATAGTCATGCAGTGTGAAAAGAACAGCAACCCGTCTACTTTGAAAATCGTGCAGTCTGAACTTGGCATAAGGTGTTCTGAATGGTTGTTAGCATTTTGTTGTTGATTTGCTAGGGTTTTCTGGGAGTGTTGCCAGAAAGTTCTGGGTAGTTGTTTACCTGTCCAACTCAAATTATCTCACTCTCAATTAGGGCTGCACGATTTGGGGGAAAACTCTTGTTGTGATTTTTTTTTTTTCATAAATATTGCAAAAAAAACTTGCACATTAAATCGACCCATGCATTTACTGCAAACCAAGCCGCTCTGAGATGCTGGAAACGTCTGATAATGGACTGCTCATGTATAAGAGTACAGTGGCGTGCTTCGCCGCATATATGTATCTAAATCACAGCCTTTGCGATTAGATCATTGCACCATATTGCAATTTCGGTTTAATTTCGGTTAATCATGCGGCCCAACTCTTCTCTGTTATTCTGCTCAAAGATATGGCTCAGGACATTCCTTATTAGAGCCCGACCGATAAAGGATTTTAAAGCCCAATACCGATACAAATATTTTTGGGTTTTAATATCCGATATTCCACTATATCGGTCGATATATATATATATATATTTTTTTTTTCAGAAATTCCAACAAAACATTAACAGATTTCCCTAACATAGTTATTTGTAGTTATTTATGAGTTTTAACTAAAATAACATGATAAAGCATTTTAAAAAGAAACTTGTTTCTTTTATTGTCACAACAGAACAGAGGAACATCAAAATATATTAAAGTTCTGATAAATAAAATAATACTTAGACTTAGTCCCTACATTGCCTTAAAGTCCCCGTGAACCGGAAGTTGCAAACAATTTTTCTCCAGTGCTGTGACGTATTTCCAAGTGAAACGGAATATTGAACAGAGGGCAGGGTTTTACTCTAGCGCTCCTCCTCTCCATCTCTCGCTCATTGCAAACTAACGGTTTGAGGGGAGTGGTTAAGCGTTTCCCCACCCAAGTTGTGAAACCTACGTCATCAGAAAAAGAAACCGTTCCAGACCGGAAGTAACTTTTCAGATTTTGATTAAAGATTACCAAGGTAAAACATTTTTTAAATATATTTTTACTTGCACTGATTAATTGTTCACCACAAGACTAGTAATATGCGCTAACAAAGTAAATAGGTTCAATTTTGATTTCACAGGGACTTTAAAAGCTACCTAATAATTACAATGTCAGCTTGCTTATCCCTTTACCTGCACTTTTTAAATTCTTTCCATCAAGCTACATCAAACCATTTTCAATCGTCAGTTGCTGCCTGCCTCCTTAAACCTACTATTTATTCTAAATCCATTACAGAGATAGCACAAGATACGTGCCATTGCACAAGATACGTTTGATACTTTTTCTCTATGTTTACATGTTCACTCCTTGTAAGTCTAACTTACATTTTACAATGCAGGGACGGTACTAGAGATATGCTAGTAATAAATAAATTAATCACTTTATTTAGGCAGAAAAAGTTCATTGTGGTTTCCAAGCTCATTAATGTTAACGTTAGCGGTCTTCCACTGACGATAGTGGTATTAGCTAGCTTTGTGGTTAGCTAGTCTATGATGAGCCATAATTTAGCAATTGATAATGTCATACTGCAAATTGTAAAACATACATTTTCAATATAACAGGCCAAGGAGAGATGATTGAAGCGTGTTTCGTCCGTTTTTATTTTATTTTTGAAATATTCATTTATCGGCCATTAACTGCTGATACCGATATTTTGGAAAATGCCTAAAATCGGCCGATAATATCGGCCAGCTGATATATCGGTCTGGCTCGATTTTTTTTTTTTAGTGAACTAGATGAACCAGTTTGGTCAGACTGAACCTTCTGAAACAACTCATGGCTAGTCAGCACAGATCTAGTTACTCAATCAAAACTCACTTTCGGACGTACCTGACAGTCACTCCAATTCGAAACGAGTCAATTCCTAGGATATCCTATGATGCCAGTTTTTGCCAAATCATTCAGTGTTTCAGTTAGTTAAACACTACACTGAACTGAGAACAGTCTGTTGGACATATCCAACATGTTGAGAACTGTCTGCCATAAAGGGAGGAGGGATGTTTGTTTCTAATGTCTTTTGCGGTAAAGCATAAAGTAGGCTTTAATAAATAAAATGTATTGGAAATCTAGCAGTTGACTTGAATGATTTGCATATACATGACATCTTTGCATGATTGCATATATTAATTGGTGAATTGGATATATGAATTGGTTCATTGAAACTAACTGTCCAAAAGCACCAGTTTGCGGAAAAGAATGATAATGATGGTTTGTATATTTGAGATTTGGATAAATTCACTATATTATAATAGTTCAGATATAAAGCATAGTTTTAAACATCATCCTACCAGTTATATTGCCTTCCAAAAGGATGTTTGCATAATCACTTAGTGTTGGCGTATGGTTACCAGGTTCAGCATCATAGCTCCACTCTTTTTCTGCTGTCATCCATTCAGTTCCTCTGCCAGGCTGTTTGTACAGGTGTTGTGTTTTACTCGTGGGAGGGATGGGAATGCGAATGTGGTGGGTCGGAGAACAACCTTCACATTCTTCTTTTCCCTGATGGCATAGGAGCCTCCGCCACAGCTGTGTCCTTCAGCAGACGGGGCTGACAGCAGGGGTCCATCTTACTGTTTGGAAGACCTTTTAGGCTGGGCTTTTAGCAAATGAACAAGGAAATGTGTGTGTGTGTGTTGACAATAAATGAGGGAGTGAGTTTAATGAGGATGTTCTGGATCGGAAAACCGATTTCATTTGTAATAACTTCACACTGCCATTTGTCTACAGCAATCTCTCCTGCATGAGGATGTGGTTAACGTTAAGACGGTTCTTCAGCCATTGTATGCTATTCATGGAAACAATTGCACAAACCTTACAAAGGAATTTTTGCAGTTTCACTCCAATGCTGAATATTTTCTTCTCTTGCTCAATCACGCTCAGCATGGATCAAATCTCAGAAAGGTCCAGAATCGGTTTTCAGACTTTTCCCTTCTTGCATTGTGGGAAAGCACCATTTTTCTTTATTATTTTTGAGACCTTTAACAGAGTCTATCTATCTATCTATCTATCTATCTATCTATCTATCTATCTATCTATATCTATCTATCTATCTATCTATCTATCTATCTATCTATCTATCTATCTATCTATCTATCTATCTATCTATCTATCTATCTATCTATCTATCTATCTATCTATCTATCTATCTATCTATCTATCTATCTAATCAATAACAATATGCTTCCATTATGATTCTTAATTAACATTTCAAAGTCAGGGCTCTAGGGAAATTCCCAAGTGGTAATTACAACATCGTGGTAATGTGTTGTGTGGGTATGATCATCTCATATACAGTATATACAATATAGGCTACCTATATGAAGGCAGCATGTAATTTTCTTCTTAATTCACCAAAATATCTAAGAGAGTCAAATTACCAACAGGAAGCAAATCTGTCCTCTGTTCAGGACCATTGTTGTATCTATTAGCCTAATATATTTTCTCTGTCTTTCAGGATGTCAGAATCAGGCTCACAGCAGGAAAGGCTCCAGGCTATTGCAGTAAGTCAGATTCTCACACACCACGTTTCCGTGGCAGTCCTAATAAACCCACCTACTGAACCCATTTCACAAATCTGAAACTGGGTCAGAGATTTTTACATACAGTGTGTGGCTTTAAAATGCCATTAAAGGCACAATATGTAAGATTTTTGGATTAAAATATCAAAAAAACAATAAAACTATGTTATATATTTTGTTGACTTTTGTACATACATTATTCCAAAATTTTCTATCAATTTCCATTTAATCCAGAGAAATCAGCTATTTTAAACATTGTAATGGCCCGTGTCGTCATGTCACCTTTCAATGACGTCATATCTGCGTTACTCCCTACTTCCTGTTTTACTTCTGTAGAAACCATTGAAACACTAAAGACGCATTTCATAAGACTTGTGAACAAATGTTTGGATAGTTTTATCGACAGACAACTAATCATTGTTATATAGCTCAACATGGTTACTCTTATTGTTTGGATCTCTTGTTTTCTTGATTCACCGCGAGTAACATGTTTGCCTCAGAGACAACACTATTTTGTTGCTAACATAGCAAAATCAGAAAGAGCGATTTATTAGAATGAAATAAAATAATGTGAATTTAAGTGATCAAACGTAACTGTAACAAAGTTAAATTTCAGGGAAGCAAGCAGGCGAATGTTAAACGTAACATTAACAGTAACTTTAATCATAAAATATGCATGAATATCAAAACGAATGGAGTGGAACGACTTACGCCATATAAGCATAATAAAAACAGCAATGCAAAATGTCCTAGGCTCTCGGAACCACCCTGCTTAATAACACATGTCTGGAATACATTTGCTATTGTTTTGAAAAAGTGACCTCTAGTGATGAAACTTACATGTATATACTGTGTCTTTAAGTGTACAAGCCGCCCCCTAAATTCACCTAAGCACGGGTGTCAGTTTGATATTTGCTGGGCACAGAGACACATTCGAAAGTGCTGGGTAAAAACTTGTCAAACTGTGCAACCTTTCTGCTCAACCCGTAATTAAATGCATCGATCCACTAGTGCTGTAGCGGTGCGTCGATTGCGTCGACGTCATATTTTTGCGTCGATGGTTCTTTATTTATTTATTTTTTGCATGTTCCCGGCGGTACAGCTTGCCACACACACGTGGGAGACCGAAACATTGCGGAATAGAGGATGAAGACAACTAGAAGTGAATGTGCTATCCATTAAATGAATCACACACAGTAAACAAACCCTTAAAAAAAAAAAAAAAAAAAAAAAAAACTTTGCAATTTAGACGCGCAAACTGGGTGCCGGTGTGGTGAGACATACAAGCTCGGGCAGATTCAGCTTGAAGTCGTTCATCCCGGACGCGGCACCGCACACGCTGTTACAAAAAAGGCGTACACAGCCACAGTCTTCCTGGTCTTGCGCACCCAACGCGTCATTTTTGCCGCACGCACATTCACGCTCGTGCGGGCGTGTGGAGTAGCCTATAAACAAGGCTTTACTCCGTGTCAGCACGCGCTCTGATCAGTAGGTGCACAAACCTCTCCCGATTCATCTCCATCAGTAGCAGCCTCCGATCGCACCACTAACTCCGCCTCCCGATCCGTTTCCCTCCTCAGCTGATATTAATATTTAAACATTCTCTACAGGGCCTGAAATTAACACCCGACCACCTGCCAAATGCGGGTGAATTTTGCTATTGGCGGGTAACACTGTCAATCTACCTGCCACATTGGCAGGTAGCCAATGAGAATTGTGAGTGATTCATTAGGATTTTTACATTTCAACGAAGTCCGCTATTGCGTTTGACTTTAGCTAAAATGTGGCGGCACATTACTGGGGTAAAGAGGCCAGCTGAAACAAAACAGCCAACAAAAAGATGAGGATGAGAAAAAGAAAAGTAAAGAAGACATTTTAATACAAAAGTGAACAATCGGCGGCAATGGCAAGGTTCGTGAGCGGCTGATTTATGACAGCGACTGTTGTTTCGTAACGTTCATGCGATCAGAAAGAAGATGAGGCTCTTTTTCTGACTACGTGTGCGAGTATTAAACTGTTGGTGAGATGGGATGAGATAATGTAACGCGTCGCTGTTGTAGGTTAAAGTACAATGACAGTTGCACAGATGTGTGTGCGGATGCAACTGTGCATGTTGGGAGTTGGAAACCGGTGAGAAAATGTCCGGTACCCGGTAATTTTATCAGTAATAACAGTATCAATTTAGTTCATATTTAACCGTTCCTGAACGCTGTAACTAAAAGCTGTTAAGAGTAAGACCTACGTGACTAAATCCGCCATCAACACAGCCACGTGTGATTTGTTTACGAGCTGCGGTAGGTATCTGTTGAGTATATACTATATTATAGCCTATACTATGTTGTGTGTGTGTGTCTGTCAAAATCAAGGAATAAAAAGATTTTTTTTGTAAAAATGTATGTTATTAGAGTTATTATTACTTGACAGCACTTAAATGTGTATTCTTGCAAGTTAAAGAACAATATTGTGAAATTCCTGTTTTTTTTTTTTTTTTTACGTTTATGAGGCAAAAAAAAAAAGGGCTGGTAAAAAGTCTCTTTGGCAGGTGAATTTTTAAATCCACCTGCCACAGTGGCCGGTGGCCGAAAAAATTAACTTCAGGCCCTGATTCTCTATGATAAAAACTGTTTGTAAAAAAAAATATTTTAATAACACGGTTTTGGCGGTTGTAGAGTTATAATGATGGTGTTCAAATACATAACATTAGACTAACGTTAGCCAGCTTATAGTATCTCAGTATGCTAGTATTTATTTGAGACACATTGTTTTTTTTTATTTGAGCAGCAGAAAAATATTCTTTATATTAGTCGTCCAATTAGTCATTAGATTAGTCGACTAATCGATAAAATAATCGCCCAACTAATCGTTTAGTTAATGTCATAGATCGCTCTTCAACACCTCTCCCAAGTTATCAAAGATCACAGTCTCCAGAATACTGAACTACATTTCCCATCTATCCTCCTCTCAGTCTGAGTCCCATCCCTGATTACCTGCAGAGGTGCAGCCACTTATCTCCTGTATATAAGCTGCTTGCTTGCATGGCTCCCTGCGAAGTCTTGTATCAGCCCCGGCATACACTTCTGAGCATTCTACGTCCTATGATCTTTCCTGGTTTTCCTGATCCTTGTCTACATCTCTGGTCTACGAGTTATTGTCTGTTGCCTGCCCCGACCCCAGTCTGGTATTGACTCTGAGTTTGGATTTGCCCTTCAATCCTGTTTTCACTGATATTTCTCTGTGTGCATTCAGTAAATAAAGCCACTGCAAATGGATCCGCACGCCTCTGACTCATTGTTACAGAAGACTTCGCCGTCACAGGATCCAGCAGCGATGCAACAGCTAACCTCTGAAGTCTCCAATCAAGCTTCAGTTCTGATGGTACATCAACAACAGCTTGAGAAATTAACTGCGCTTACTGAGGAATTGGTGAGATCCACGCGGTCTCTCTCTGCACAATCCACCATTCCTGTTCAACCCGCTGCATCACCAGTTCAGCCACTTTCCAGCGTGAGTACATCGTCTAATAATCCTCGTCTGTCTCTGCCTGACAAATACGATGGTTCAGCTGCAACATGTAAGGGATTTTTACTTCAATGCTCTTTGTACATTAATCAACAACCCAACCTTTTCTCCAATGATGACGGTCGCGTATCTTTCATCTGTTCCCTGCTAACTGGAAGAGCACTGGAGTGGGCCACCGCACTCTGGTCAGGGGGTAACCTCTCTTTTCCATCCTACAATGATTTCCTCGCCCAGTTTAGAGAGGTCTTTGAGCACCCGGCCAGCGGAAAGGAGCCGGGCGAGCTGCTTCTGTCGTTACGTCAGGGAGGATCTTCTGCGGCGGATTACACACTATCCTTCCGAACCCTCGCAGCACAAACAGGCTGGGGCGACGATCCACTGAAATTATTGTACCGTAAAGGTCTCAACCCTGATCTGCAGGGGGAACTGGCATGCAGGGATGAGGGCAAAACTCTCAGTCAATTGATGGATTTAACTATTCGACTGGACAACTTGATGCGAGCTAGACGAACATCTCTTAGGCACAGAGTCAACGAATCTCCCTCCGTGAGTCAGGAATCTGAACCCATGCAGATTGGTTTCACTCGTCTCACTCCTAAGGAGAGAGAGAGGAGAATGCGTAATCATTTATGTCTATACTGCGCCCAGTCCGGCCACAGGAGGGCGACCTGCCCCATCAGACCCACTTCCAGAGATTCTACTGCGGTGAGTTATAGCCCTCATACTTCTAAATCTCTTGTATTGAACGTCACTCTCCACTTTGACGAGAGGTTTATTACAACGAGTGGTTTGATTGATTCAGGAGCTGCTGGGAATTTTATTGATTTGAGTTTTGCTAAATCCAACAATATCTCTCTCTCATTCCATGTGACTCCCGGGTGGCAGTGGCAGCGTTAGACGGACGTCCCCTTGGTTCTGGCAAGGTTCAATTTACCACCCAGAGGATCACGTTGATCACGGATTCTCAGCACACAGAGAACATTCAATTCTTCACTATTGATTCACCTCATCACCCTCTCATTCTGGGTCTTCCCTGGTTAGAACAACACAACCCTTCCATCTCGTGGTCTGACAAGCGAATTATTCAGTGGTCGGATACCTGTCTGAAGAAATGTTTATGCACCTCCACCAGTCACACTTCGTTTAATCACTGTTCTGAAAATCCAGATCTCCATGGGGTACCTGCCGTGTATCATGATCTTTTCCTGGCTTTCAGCAAGAATAGAGCGTCCCAACTTCCTCCACACAGATCCAGTGACTGCGCCATTGATTTAATCCCCGGTGCCACCCTCCCGCGGGGAAGAGTATATCCTTTATCTTAGACGGAGACCGATGCCATGAAAGCTTATATTGATGAGCAACTCGCAAAGGGCTTTATCACCACCTCTACTTCACCTGCTTCAGCCGGTTTCTTTTTCGTAAAGAAGAAGGACGGCGGACTTCGACCCTGCATTGACTATCGT